GGGGGAGGGGAGGGGGAGAAAAGAAAAAAAACCAGTTTGCAAAGCACGGGGCGCGGCAGTTTGTTGGTGCCCGGGACCGCAGTCCCGCGGCTGGGCACGGAGAGCGGGACCTGCAGCATCCGCACGGGACTAGGTCAAGCCACGGGGACCCCGAAAACCACCCCAGCAAAAACAAAAGCGACAGACAAATAACGCTCTGCCCTCAACCCTTCCAGTCATTCAGAATAAGCGTTCACCCTTTCAAACTCTGACATTTCATTCAACAATCCTCTCGTCTTAATTAGGTGCAAAGCTTGCTCTGCAAACGGTGGATCTCCCATCTTTTCCATCTTCCTGTACTTCCTATCAAAAGAGAAAATATTTCCTTCTTCAAAATCAACTAGCTACTAAGAAAACAAGAAAAAAAACCCTGCAAGCGGCTCTTACAAACTGTCGCTGTTTGCTTATCGTTGATGACCTCTGTCAGCCCTGTGAATGCAGAAGCAATACCTGTTCACCTCCAAGCAACTACTTTTACGTGGTACGTCATTTCACCTAGCTAGACCCACAAACGTGTATTACAGCTATATATGCATACGGGTTTAAAGTACCACGTCTTGCATAAATTCAAGAGCGAAGAGAATCCCTACGGTGCCTCATCATTTAACTTTTAATCCCTGACAGACTGGCTGTTCTCTGCCCTCCTCAACCAGCCCCCAGTTGCGTAGAAATTTTCACTCCGTAAGAGGAGGCGGGTTGCTATTTTTTTTTTTGGGGGGGGAAGGGGGGGGGGGGGGTGGTGTTTTTTTTTTTTTTTTTTTTTTTTTTTTTTTTTTTTTTTTTTTTTTTTTTTTTTTTTTTTTTTTTTTTTTTTTTTTTTTTTTTTTTTTTTTTTTTTTTTTTTTTTTTTTTTTTTTTTTTTATTTGGAATCCATATAAAAGCAAGCCAACAAACTGGTCATTCACGCTGGGACTGAGCTGCCAGCTGGAACATAGTTACACACTACCATAGGGTGGGCCTTTACGTGAAATGTGCGATACAACATGCAACAGCTCATGCATATAGTGACTTCTGGAAAGAATTTTCTTTTTTTTCTTTTTTTTTTTTTTTAAAATTCACATTCCATGCTCACCATGATTTATTGTTAAACTTTTGCAAGAGATAAGGTATTTCAAAACCAAGATATTAAATTTATCCTTCTCATTTCGGTATGATTGACCTTCCCAGCTAGACAGCCAAGGATTTTTTTGTAATCTGATGTCCTCAGTCCAACAATCCTGTTTTTCAACTCAATCATTTTACATTTTTAAATAGTATTTAGAAGCTGCATTAACATAAACTATTTTGGTCACATTTTCCAAGCACTTTCCAAAATCTTACATAAGAAAACTCTGAAGTACAGCCCAAACATAGTAACTGTGTAAACATTAGCTTCTATTGGGGTACCCAGAAGTATACACTCATAATAATAGCACAGTAGAATTCAAACGTGAAGAAATATCCCCAAATTAAACTTTTTCTCATACAAAGAGCCAGCGAGTTCCTCCGAGACTGTTTATTACAGGACGTTTTGGGGAAAAAGAGATTTTTCAGAAAGCAAGGAGGGATAGTGCTCTACCCGACAAAACACAACCCCACGGTGAGAAACGAACACTAAGCACAGACACGCGTGGCAGGCACTGTCAGACGTAGCTACTCACCTTTCACAGCACTCGCTTCTTTCAGGTTGTGAGACAGAAAGTCTATGCTGGCATAGGCGCTCATCTCCACTCCGTTGATGCCCCCGTTCAGGACATGCCTGGCTTTCGACCTGGCTTTGTCACAGTTTGCCAGGGTCCCGTCCACCACGTCGATGGCGATGTAGTTGAGGCCGTTCTGGAAGCCAGCCGAGGTCTCCCGGCACATGGGGCTGCTACCCTGCTCCTCCTCCAGGCCTTCGCTTTTCCTGAGGGACACGTTCTCCACCGAGGCCGAGTTGTGCCGTTTGGGGTTGTGTGCGAAGGAGGGGGACACGGGGGTCACAGTGGTGGTGGAGGAGAAAGTTTCTGAGCTGTGCCTCCTGCGCCCCTGGGGATCGGCCCGGATGACCTTGGCCCCCCGGTTCGGGTCGGGGGGAGGGCTGGAAAGAATGAAAGCCTCCACCCCAGAGAGGGTGAGCCTCTTCACCCCAGCCGTGGGGCTGGTGACCCGGGCACTTTCTGGCTTCTGAACAATAGGTTGGGGTGGGGTGGTGGCCATGCCAAAGGTCATCTCGGTGTAATCCCCACCGTCGGACGGGCTGGACGAACAAGCCACCCCCACAGCCGCCTTCAGGTAGCGCCCATCAGGCTGGCTAATGCTGGAGGAAGAGCCTGGCGAGAGTGCTTCCAGGGAGCCCACCGAGACCGTGCCCGACTGGGAGGGCGACTGGGACCCAAAGTCAATGTTCATGTAGTCAGAGAGAGGGGAGCGCCTCTGCCCCGTGCCTGAGCCCAGGGAGGAGGCCGGGCTGTCGGCGGGCAGCGAGGGGGGAGAATAGACGGTAGTATCCCCGAAGTCGATGTTGATGTATTCGCCGGGGCTCTTGGGCTCAGGCGGCAGAGGGTGCTCATTCATGCTGGGCAGCATCGTCCGCAAGGTCTCCAAAGAGAGGCGGCTGGGCCGGGCCGCCCGCTGGCACCTCTGGCTCAGGAAGCTCTCGGTCCGGCTGTGCCGCAGGGGCGAAGGCACCGTGTGGCTGGAAGGGGCGAAGGTGCTGGCGGGGGACTGACCCGCTCCGCACACCGCCTCATCATCCTCCCTGGGGAGTTCATGAAGACGTACTGGTCGCTGTCCTTCACCAGGCCCTGGCTCTTGTAGGAGCGGGGTAAGGAGCTGTACGAATAGCAGCCAGGCTTAGGGGGCTCGGTGGACCCATGCCCCGAAGGGGTGAAAAAGAAGTCAGGGGGGGTGAGGGAGGGAGCCTGGGGCCCATGCTGGGGGTCCCGAGGGGACATATTGATATAGTCGCCATTACTCAGCCTCCCATCCGAGCTCTCCACAGACAGCTTGGAGCCGCACCACATCCGCATGTACCCACTATCGTCAGGGGAGCTCTCCCCGGGTGAGCTGGTCTTGTAGCTGCTCCCGTTCCCGGGGGACCCGCCACCCACCCCCGCCCCGCCCGGGGCTGCAAGATCTGCTTGGGGGCGGACACGCTGGTGGGGCTCATGGGCATGTAGTCATCGCTGCCCCGGCTTCCCTGCCCTAAGGCTGCGGCCACGCCGGGGGTCATGGGCATGTAGCCGTCATCATCTCCCCCTCCTCCTCCCCCCCCTGCCGGCGGCCCCAGGTTTGCGCTGCGGCTGCCGGGGCT